CGGGAGCTTATCCGTGCCCCATCCCCTGCCCCGCCCGGGCAGAGGAGCAGGAGCAGCTCTTACGGCACCGGCCCGACCAGCCCCAGAACCCCAAGGTTTTAAAAGTCGCCATCATCGGCGCGCCGAACGCCGGGAAGTCCACGCTCTCTAATCAGCTCCTGGGCAGGAAGGTAACGCCGCGCCGAGAAGTGCAGGCTCATAATTGGATTTCTTGGCGCATTCTGAATGCTGGAAACATCTACTTCTTTCTAGGTGTTCGCGGTCTCCAAGAAAGTGCACACGACCCGATGCCAAGCGCAGGGCATCGTCACGAGCGAGGACACGCAGCTGGTGAGCTTCCCTGTGGCCAAAGCGCGGCCACGCTCGGGGTAGCTGGAGCGTTAGCCAAATAGAGCAGATTTTGTCACCTGTATCCTGCCATTTATTCATGTTCCACAGATGTAAGTTCTATCTTTGCCACCAACCATACACAAGTTTACAAAAGATCTGTTTTTCCCCTTTTAGGTCATTCTGGATACACCTGGCCTCACTAGTCCCTTGAAAGCCAAAAGGTATTGCCATTGTGGGGGCAGTGAGGGTCCTCTCCAGTAAATCATTCTGGTCTTATAAAACCTTCCCTTGCAGGATTTTTTAAAACAGAATTGACAGGAATGTATGTTTTTAGTCTCATTATTGTATCTGTATTTTTGTTATCATTGCTATTTCAGTATCGTATAAAGTCCCTTGGGCCCTGCTGTGTTTCATACTGTATGTGTGCATGTAATATGGGATGTTGTAGGCTGCAGGGCAGCCTTGCATGAGCTGGGATGATAGAAAATAGGATTTCCTTCCTTTCAAGGAGAAGGAAGATAGACCATGCCAGATCACAGCTGATTTTAATAATTTGCATTTCTCTTTCAGGCACAAGCTAAATGAATCCATGCTGAAGGACCCATGGGAGAGCATGAAACATGCAGATATAGGTGAGCACTTCTCATTCCTTGTATTAAGAGAAATATTAATCTGCTCTAGAAGATTATGGCTCTGTAAATGCAGCAGCTATATGCCTAAGGGCATTAAGAGCAGACCTGGGAGTGTGAACCAGGACAGAGGGATGGGGCATAGAAAAGATTTTGAAATCTTTAGCTGGGAAAGAGAAAAAAAATTATCTGATTATAAGGAGAGGCAATTGGATTAAGAGTTTGGGCTAGGATGTTGTGTATTGGCACATGCAATCTTTTTAAGACAATAAGAAATACAAATCGTGTTATATTTTCTTGCCGATTAAAACACTCCTTTTTCATCCATATGCTTCTGCAGTAGAAGAAAGATTACAATCAGAAGGGAAGAATTTTGCTGTAGGTTTGGTGCAAACAGAAGGGTAACATTTTGGCAAGTGAAGGTTCTCATACATATTTTCCTCACTATTTTCTGGCAGTTCTGGTCTTGGTGGATGTATCGGATCACTGGACACGAAACAGTCTGAGCCAAGAGGTGCTGAAGTGTCTTTCTCAGTTTCCCCAGATTCCCAGTGTCCTGGTTCTGAATAAGGTAATAAAATTCCTTTTTTTTTTTTCCCCTGCCTTCTACATTCTACAGCCTATTAGGCCAATGTCTTCAAACAGTACTCAGGTAGCAGATGAATTTTCAGAGCACTAAGAGCAGATCTGTTAAAGTCAATTGTTCCCCCTCTGCTGCAGAATATTGAAGCGTGTGTGTGTGTACATGCATGCAAACCTGTGAAGCTCTACATTGCAAAGCAGAATTTAAATCAGCCAGATTTAAACAGAAACAGCAGCTGCGCTGTATTCAGGTTGGTCAATGAGAAGATCAGCAGTCAGTGTTTGCACAAACTGCTTTTGAACTGCTGACACGCTGTGATTTGGTAGGAAAATAGTCTTGTTCACTGCAGAAACCTCATCCTCCAGCAGCCAGCTTGGGTGGATTCTTCTAGCTGCTTAAAATTCAGGAAACAACTGCTAACTTCTTTTAGGACAAATCCTTGCCACTTCTCTTTCTCACTTTAGGTGGATCTGGTAAAGAAGAAATTCATCCTGCTGGATCTAGTAGCTGAGCTAACAGAGGGCATTGTGAATGGACAGAAACTGAAAGTGAGATCCGATACTGAACATAATTCCCGTTCTTCATCAAGAACTCCTAAAATTTCTCACATATCTCTTTCAGAGATTAGGGCCTATGAATCTCACAGTTTACAGGAAACAGAAAAAGTCCAAGAAGATTGTAGCTTGGATAGCAGCAGTGGTACGGGGTCCAGTCTCATCTCAGACGAAGTGCAAGACCCAAAGCCCTGTGAATATAAGCATCTTAAAAATGTGAAAGGTTGGCCAGGCTTCCAGGAGATCTTCATGCTTGCAGCCCTCCATGGAGAGGAGGTGGATACGCTAAAGGTAACTGCAGTTTGGGACTGTTTTTGCTACAAAGCTGGTGTGCTTTTACCCTCGTACCCCCGCCTGTACTTCATATTGAACTTCATGTCCTGTGAGCAAAGAACAGAGCTGCTGATTTTGTCCTAGGGTGGGCCCAAGCCAAGGGTGAGGTGTCCTCTGTGAAGAAAGGCTATGTGTGCACAGCAATTTCAGAGTTTTCTGTGCAGAACATGCTTATTTGGGGGTCTCAAAACAACATCTTGTTCTTGATGAAGTCACCCAGTGTGTTATTTCAGCTGCCATAAAACAGTAATACTGTTTTTGTTTTACCTTGTATAAAACTTTGGGGAGGTGTGATCCTGCATGCTTATTTGGGGGTCTCAAAACAACAGCTTGTTCTTAATGATGAAGTCACCCAGTGCGTTATATTTCAGCTGCCGTAAAACAGTAATTCTGTTTTTGTTTTACCTTGTATAAACTACTTTGGGGAGGTGTGATCCTGTGGTATGTTTGAGTTTCGGAAGTTTCTGTTTTTCCATTCCTGTTCCCCAAAGGTTTTAAACTTGCCCTGATGTCTGTCTAGCAGCAAGGTCCTCGTAGGGACTCGCCACAAGATGAGGATAAGAGGTTTGTGCTATTGGGGAAGCAGTATGTGACAGCTAATGGGTGTGATGATGTTTTGTGCTGACAGCGGTACCTCCTGATGCAAGCCAAGCCAGGCCCTTGGGAGTTTCATAGTGGGGTCTTGACCAACCAGTCACCTCAAGAGATCTGTGACAACATCATCAGGGAGAAGCTACTGGAGTACCTGCCCCTGGAAGTGCCCTATGGTGTGCATCAGGTGGGAAGCACCTTCCAGCAGAATTTCCTTCAAACTGTTGTGTTGGAAACATCAAACTATTATCTTTGCTAACCCTTTTCTTGGGTCTGTGAAGTCTGCCAGGCTCTTTACAGGGCGTGTGGGGTGACTTCAGACCTATATGCCATGTGGCTTGAGCCCTGTTGTGTGTTTGTCCGCACATGGACTCAAATTGGGGCACTCACTCGAGTCCCGTGCTGCGAGGGAGTGGTATTTGCTGCTCCTGAGATGCTTTGCTGATTTTGTGCCTGCTGTTGCAGGTGACAGAGATGTGGGAGGAAGGGCCAAGCGGAGAGCTCCTCATCATGCAGAACCTCGTGGTCCCGAGGAAGTCTCACATGGTGAGTAACGTCAGAAGAGAGGTAGGGCCCTGAACAGCATGACAGGAGGTTCCTGGATCCAGCACATGTGCATCCTTGCTGTGTTAGACACACTGGCCCTCAGCTGTGGAGCTGGGTATTTTCTCTGCAAACAATCAAGGGTTTCAGTAAAACCCTTGCACCTTTCAAAGCTGTTTGGTCTTGGGACATTTCCAATTGCTATATTCCCTTTATTTTTTTCCCCCAGGTGATTTCTACCCACATTTAAGTGATGTAAGGATAAGTGTGATGATCTTTTCTTTGGGTTTTAATACAGATGATGTTGATTGGAAGAAAAGGGAAGATTATCAGCAAGATTGCCCAGGAGGCTGGCCAGGACCTGATGAATGCTTTCCTTTGTGATATCCGCTTGAAGCTCAGGGTGGAGGTGAAGAGTTGAACTCTTTGCATAGGTTTCAGCAGCCCTCAAGCTCTCTGGTCACGTGGAGAAACCAGTGCTGTTTTTTCTGGGGGTATTTCAGCATCTTTGTTCAATTCAGAAACAGGATGATGGAATCAGCGTCATGGGCTGAAGTAGAATATATTGCTCTTCTGAGAGAATGGCACAAACTGAAATAAAAATTTCAGACCTTCTACAGCACCGTCTCTTTGGAAGCTGGGGACAGATGTCAAGAGACCCGGCTTTATGTGCAGTTCTAGTGCTGCATTTATAGAGCTGTCATCCACTTCTTTTAGGCTATATCCCACATCCTTAGTGTTCAGAAGGACCTGACTGACTGTGGAATGAAGATAGGAGGGAGTAAGCCTGGGTCTCGTCCAACAGTGCAGGCTTGGAGACACCTCAGTGCTTTTGGCACGTGCATTTTGTACCTCATGCATCGTACACCGCTGCCTTGTGTTCCCAGTGCTGTTAATGTCTGTTACAGATTTGCAGCTATGCTTTGTCTTTTAGGAAATAACTTTAAATGCTGCTGTTAGAAAGAATGAGAGTCAGGCATGAGCAGTCAGAGCAGTCCCTGTGCAGTAATCTGTGCAGTGCTTTGAAGTCCTCTGCCCTAAAAAGGGATGGGTGAATATTGGGATTCTTTAGGCAGTGGAATGGGAAATAGGAAAGGTTGGCATCTCCAGTCCTTTGTGAACAAAGGGTTACAATGAAGGCACATTTTTTATCTCTTTGAAGGCTGAGGAACTCCCGCAGTGAAAATGGAAGAGGCTTCCCCATCCCATATGATGTCTTGTGCTTTGCTGTTCCCTGAGGTCTGCTGAGTTCATGGGTGTGAGAGTATGACAGTGTAGGAAGTAATTTTTGCCCAGGTTTGCTTGAGTGGAGCAGTTTGCTGGCTGGCAGAAACACTGTAATAACTGGGTGTGACAGAGGGAGCTCTTAAACTCTCGGTACGTGATACTAAGCCAGTAGTTTGCAGTTCTTGTGTTTGAGCCCTTCCCATGGATGTGCACATACCATCCTCTTAAATGACTTCCAGCTGCTGCTTTCATTTTAATCTCTTCTGTGTTGTAGTTTAAGAATTTTTGTTCCTTCTTTTCCCCATCGTCCTTTCCTCTAATTTCCCAAGCAGGACGAAGCTTTTGACACGTAAACCCATCTCCAGAGGGATAGATTTGGTGACATACTCTTTTTAACTGAATGGAGTATTGGAGAGACAGAGAACTGGAGCATAGCACTGTGATCTGTTCTTGGTGTGTTTTTGAGCTGCTTCCCTGGCCAGCTGTGAGAGCAGCCAGGAGACCAGAGAAACAGCTTGCTGCACTTACAAGCATTAACTGGAGGATGTTTATCAGAAAGGGAAATGGAGCAGGGAATAAGTGTATTTCTGCTCCCCGTACACCTTGTTTTCAGTGCCCACTGGGGATCCTGCCTGTGCCCGAGTCTGAATGTTTGGCTACTGAATGAATAATCTTCTGAAGGTGCCTGTAGCAGTGTCTTCAGGTCCTCAGTTCTTCCTAATGGCTTGTTGGTCTTGCAAAAGTAGCTCAGAACCTTTTCTTAGTGGCAGTCTTACATTTGAGTAGTTTATTGCACCACGGTCACTACAAGGTCATTACTGTATGTACTGAGGTTGCAGGTGCCAATGGAGAGGCTGTTGTGCCTAAACAGCCCAAGGTTGGAATAGCCCAAAGCTGGAGGTTTTTAGGGTGTTGGGGATGGATAAGGCATGGCGTAGTCTGAGCTTGAACCATATAGCTCCCAGGAATGCAGGTAAATCCCACTATGCTGCTGTTATAAATGAGCATCCTTGAGGGAGGAGGCCCTGGGCTACTGCTCAGGCGCGTAGGGATCTGGTAGGGTCTTCTGGAAGCTCCTTGCTCCTGCCTGGAGCTCTGGTCTCTGTAGAGAGGCTGTGTCCACACTGCGCCTCTGCAGCACCGAGACGAGGGAGTGCCCCAGCAGCACTGGAAAAGGCCTCCTTTGAGCCATTAAAACGATACAACGCTCAAGGATATAAGATCATCTGAAAGCTACACTAAGAAGCCTTCAGAGGTGCATGATGGCCTGGCTTGTTTTCTCCAAGCAGGAGACACTGTGGCTCCTTGAGTCTTTCTCTCCGACTTTTGTATTTTGCTCTCAATAAAATGAGGTCCCGGCATAAGCAATTGTTTTCATCTCCTTTCTTCCTCTGTGTCAATCAGACCTCACAGCTGCCACCTTCTATCTGTTTTATTCTGACTGAAACCAGGCCACTTTTATGTGTTTTCTCCTTTCTTCCCAGCCGAGCTTAGATCACATTTCCATAGCCGGGGCTTGTTCGCAGGTGCTTCAGAAGGTTACACCTTGCAGGGAAGAAAGGCAGGTAAGCGCGCTTTGAGGAATCAAAGATGTTTCATCCGGCGCGGATACAATGGGGGAACCGTTTCCTTTGTGGAGCTTTGACACGCCGAGGTCAGCATCAAGCTGCCGCAAAGCGTTTTCCAGGGATTCTGCTGGGCACAAGAACAAACGGAGATGAGTGCCTGGAGCCACAGCCGGTCCCGAGGAGTCAGGGCGCTGGGTGTGCTTGAAATGGAAATGCTCTACGTGCGGCGATGTGCAAAGTCGCTCAACTTCCCAGCCGATGCGGTGAGGCGACGCGCATACAACCTGCTCAGCCCTAAACGTGGGGAAGCGGCTCATTAACGAGGCTTGATAATTAGGTTAATTAGCACATCACAAGCCCATCGCATTTAATATGAACGGCGCCACTGGCGTTTATCTGAACTCGGGCTCTGGAAACTACTGTTTTCCTGGAGCAGGCCTGTGTTTTAATTAACTTCAGGCTGACAATGGAAGTGCTGTGCGTGTTAGCCGGGACTTTCCCCTTCGCTTGCACTGAGGTGATGGCGGCACCAGCCTCTCCAGCTGCTCTCCCCGGGGTGAGGAGGAAAGGGTGGACGGTGACAGGGAAGGACTTGGACGTGCGGAGTGAAGGGCTGGTGACAGCGAGGGCTGTACGCAGTGAAGGGCTACGGGAGGAGGCAGGGGGCTGGGGCTGGTTTTAAGGTGTTGCGGAGAGAAGGAAGTTTCCCTTTTCCCTTTGCTCTGGACACAGGTGAGTTTGGTGGCTTTGCTGTGTGCCGGAGGGTGCAGGTGCTTTAAAGGGAGATTAGAACACCTGTGTTAAGGGCCACTGGAGGCCGTAAACGAGGGTGGCAGTGCTACTCCCCGCCATGTCACCGCCCCTGGCATCCCAAGGTGCTTCCAGGG